GCTAAATCCTGGCCCTAGCCCTTTTCACTTTTAAAATTTTGAGACTGGCGTCCTGTTAAATTGCCTAAGCCGAGCTCAAACTTTTGCTCCTCTTGTCAGTCTTCCAAGTAATTAGCTGGGATTATAGGTATGTGCTGCCATACGTATAATCTTGGGTCCTAGGGCCGGGGATTTAGCTCAGTGGTTCCAGTGCCTGCCTCGCAAGCTCAAGGTCCCAAGTTCGATCCCCAGTACCAAAAAAAAAAATCTTGGGTCCTTTATTTTATCAGCAGTTGCAAAATGATGATGTTCTAGTTCTTTTATTCCTAGACCTTTTATTTTATTAACTGGACTATATAAGGAGAAACTTCTCTTTATGACTTATTTCTTTGAAATATTTTTGTTTTTGGTACTGGGGATCAAACTCAGATTCTTGAGCTTTCAAAGCAGGCGGTGGAACCACTGAGCTAAATCCCCGGCCCTACTTTTTTTTTTTGTTTGAGACAATCTTGCTATGTAGTTCAGGCTGGACTTGAACTCACTGTGTAGCCCAGGTTGGTCTCAAACTCCAACAGCCTTAGCCTCCCAAGTGCTGGGATTACAGATGTGTGCCACCAGGCCCAGCTTCCCTCATTAGGATATATTTAACTTGTTTTCTGTTGATAGACATTAAGGTTATTTTCTAGTCTTCCATGAATATAAATTAATGCTTCCTTGAATATCTGTCAATGTTATTTTGAATGACAAAAGTTCTATAGCAAAAAAAACTTAAGAAAATAATTACTGGTGGTCATGGTCACTCACACCTGTACTCCCAGTCACTCTGGGAGGCTGAGGAGATTTGCAAGCTCAGTTTAGCAAGAAAATAATTTTTAAAAGACTTGGGATAGCTACTTGTGGTGGCATCTATAATCCCAAGACCCTGGGAGGTGGAGGCAAGAGGATCACAAGTTCGAGCCCAGACTGACAATCTAGCAATTTAGTGAGACCTTGTCTCAAGAAAACAAAACAAAAAAAGCACCCCTAAAAACCCTTACAGATTCCAAAAGGGGCCAGGGATATAACTCATTGTAAAAGGTCCTGTGTTCAATCCCCATTATGGGAGGAATAGTACTTGAGGTTGTAGCTCAACATGAAAGACCTGCGGTGGTGGTGGTGGTGGGGGGAAGTAATTACTAACTCAAGAGGATTAGCATGTTTGCAATTTTGGTAGATACTGCCAAGTTGTCTTTACTGATATATGAAATTACCTATTTTCTCTTGAATGTGGCAGAGCTTGCTGTTTGCAACTTTTTCTCAACTGTTGTTGAAAAACGCTGTGGTATGTTTGAGCCCTGGATACGATTTTTTTTCTGTACATTTTTCTTCAATTTTTATTTATTCTGTTTTTTTTGTTTTGAGACAGGGTCTTAATATGTACCATATTTCCCCGAAAATTAAGATCAGGTCTCATATTAATTTTTGCTCCAAAAGACACAATAGGGCTTATTTTCAGAGGATGACTTTTTTTAATGTACAACAATACTCATCTATTCACATACAAAAATCTGCATTTATTAACTGTACAGTCATACCATCCTTTTCTGGAATGTCATCATAACTCCAAACCCTGAATTCTGGCCCAAATTTCATGGAACTCCTGTTTCCTGTAGAACCATTGGCCCTAATCTGTCATGTCCAACAATAGAGCTCTTCTTAAATGAGCACTTCTTTTCCATGTAGCCTGCTTGTAGTACATTGGCAACACAACTGTCAGTGATTTTTATCCCATGAATTCTTCACCCAAGTCACCAACTCTTGCAGGCTAGACTTCACAAAGTTTCCATTAAATCAAATATTAATTGAAGATGTAAGAGATAAGAGTGGCAACAAAAATGATGATAGTTGGGCCGGGGATTTAGCTCAGTGGTGCCGCTGTCTGCCTCAGAAGTGCAGGGTCCTGAGTTCGATCCCCTGTACCAAAATAATAATAATAATAATGACAAGAATGGTGGTACACACAAAAGTAATGAAAAACTGTAGGCATTAAAATCCAGAAAACATTTTTTTATTTCACACGAGTGCATTAAGTATGACCATTACAACACACCACGTATTGAATTATTAAGATTCATATTAGACACAACTACATCCCTTCAGTATCAAGTGCACACCCAGAAGTGTGAATTTCATGGTAATTATATTTAAATTGTGTGTGTGTGTGCGTGTGTGTGTGTGTGTGTTGCTGGGGTTCAAACCCAGGCTTCCAGCATGCTAGCCAAGCACACTACCACAGAGCTACTTCCCTACTCCTGTACTTTAAATGTTTTAAGGAACTACTATACTGTTTTTCAAGTGGCTGGACCATTTTTTTTGTCTTTTAAAATTTTTTTTGCGGTACCAGGGATAGAACTCAGGACCTTGTGCTTGTGAGGTAGGCAGCGGCACCACTGAGCTAAATCCCCAGCCCTATTTTGTTTTTTTTGAGACAGGGTATCATATTTAGCATTACTCAGACTGGGCTCAAATTGGAATCCTCCTGCCTCAGCATCCCAGAATGCTGGGATCACAGGTATGTACCACCACGCCCATGCCCAGCTAGGAAACAGTCTTTTAGTTGGAGGTGATTGTCCTTGTGGACTTTATGGTTTATTTATTATTATTATTTGGGGTGTTTTTTTGAAACAGGATCTTGCCGTGTAGCTCAGGCTGGCCTTGAGTGCACTATGTAGCCCAGGTTGGACTTGAACCTGCTGCGATCCTCCTTCCTCACCCTCCCAGGACTGCTGGGATTACAGGTGTATGCCACCATACCTAGCTGTATGTTGTAAAATTTTATTTTAAATCTGATTAGCTACTGATTTTTGTCAGTGCTCTGGGTATAATGTTTCATAGGTTTTTGAGTTTCTTTGTTTTACTGTTAGCTTTATTATTCTTTAATACAGGATTTTACAGAACAGAAGCCTCAAGAATGGTTATATGATATTGTGATAAGAAATGCCTATTAAAAAGCCGATTAAAAAGACATTAATGGCCTGGGATTTAGCTCAGTGGTTCCGCCACCTGCCTCACAAGCACAAGGACCTGAGTTTGAGTTTGATTCCCCGGTACCAAAAAAACAAAACAAAACAAAAAGACATTTATGATGAGCTGGGCTCAGTGGTGCACGCCTCTGATCCTAGCACTCAGGAGGCTGAGGCAGGATTGGCTATCCTGGACTGCATAGTGAGAACTTGTCTCAAAAAAAACAGAACAAAAAATGACATTTACGATAAGATACCTCTGGCTTTAGGTTGCATGGTTTTCCAAAGACCAGATCTTTGGGTTCAACATCTTCAGAGAGGAAACAATCTTGGGAGGTGGAGTAGTGGTGGTAGAAGGGCAGTTTCGTTTCATTTCTTTTCTTTTTTAAAAATTTTCTGAGACAGGCTCTTATCATGTAGTTCAGGATGGTCTTTAACTCATGTAGCCCAAGCTGGCCTCTAACTCATGGCAGTCCTCCTGCCTCAGCCTCGAAAGTGCTAGGATTACAGGCTTGTGCCACCACACCCAACAATATTTGTTTCTTAATAAAACTAATCTTTTTAGCTCTCCCTGTATTCCTGTTTTCAGAGATAACAGGGTTTCCAGTTCCAGAGCTTTTTTGAGATCTCATGGGACTAAATGAGTTTGCTTCTATTCCCTATTACCATCAGCCTAGTTTTTCAGCTTTTGTGGTTTACTAAAACAGGTATAATTTTGTCCCAAAGTTTACTTGCTTTTTCCTTTTACATATTGATTGATTGTTTTTTTTCCCCTCGGTACCAGGGATTGAATTTAGGACCTTGCGCTTGCCAGACAAGCGCGGTGCCAACATCCCTGGCCCAGTTGATTGACTTTTATGAGGTAGAGTCTTTCTGTGTAGTTCAGGCTGGCCTTGAGTTCACTATGGAGCCTAGGCTGGCCTTGAAATCAAGATGATCCTTCAGCCTCATTCTCCATGGTGTTGGAATTATAGGTGTGTACCACCATGCTGTTGGGATTGGTGGGTTGAAGGGAGGCCTGGTCAGGTAAGGTTCCCAAAGAAAAGAACATGCATGGAGCAGAGATCACAGAAAAAGCAGGAACCAACCTGAATTCCCAGCATCAGAGCATGAGAGAGCTGCAGCTCTACAGCTTAAGAGCTTCATGTCTTTTTTTGTTTTTTTAAAGTTCAGGCTGGCCTTGAACTCACTATGTAGCCTAGGCTAGCCTTGAACTTGCAGTGATCCTCCTGCCTCTGCCTCCCAAGTGGTGGGATTACAGGCGTGTGCCACTGCGCCCAGCTAGAGCTGCATGTCTTTATCAGTTTTTCTGAGACACATACAAAACAACTGTGAGACCTTGCATAGCCATGGTGCATGTGTGATCATCAATGCTGATTCATTATTATAACAAACTCCATCGTGGGCCTGTGCTGAATGACAGACTTGTGTCCTCAGATGCCCTCAAGTGCCCTCAGATACCTGGGCTTTGACACATCTGCCAGCAGCCCCCTACACATGCCCAGCTGCTTTTATGTTTTATTTTTTTGTTTTTGAGACAAGGTCTCCCCGTGTAGCCCAGGCTGACCTTGAACTCACCATGTAGCCCCAGCTGGCCTTGAACTTACAAACCTCCTTTCACAGCTTCCCAGGTGCTGGGATTATAGGTATGCGCCCCCATGCCTGGTTTATGCCCAGCTGCTTTTAATGAAACTTTGGGAAGAAGTGGAGGCAAAAGGTCATATTGAATCTGGCATATTTATCTGGAAAAATTTAATTATGAATGAGATCAAACCTATAAAAAAAAACTAAAAGACACACATGTACCTGCCATATTTAGTAGATATTAATGTTTTGTATTGACTTTTTTTTTTTTCCTACTGGGGATCGAACTCGGGACCTTGTGCTTGCAAAGCAGGCGGTGGAACCACTGAGCTAAATCCCCGGCCCTTTGTATGGATTTTTAAATTATTTATTTATTTAAAAATCCAAAATGTGTTTATTGGGATGGCTTCCCATTCATCTTGACTCAGGGTTCTGTTAGTGCTGCTTCCTCCTGAAGGAGCATCTTTCTGTGAGCCTTACTTTTCCTTCTATAGGCTGCCAGAGGACAGTGGAGCAGCCAAGACACAAAACTACCATCTGTGCATGGCTAAAGACTGTGGTGATTTTATAGCATCCTGGGCTCTTCACGCCCATGAAGTAGGAATTGGGGCTCTGCACCAGGTGCTTCTTCTTGTGCTTCCTCTTCTCTGGAGAGGGATGAAGGAGATCTTTTGTGAAAGGCATGTTCTCTTGGGGAGGTCATCACCCTGGAAAGGGTGTATTCATTTATGTACGTATGTATGTATGTATGTATGTTTTTTTGTATGTATGTTTTGAGACAGTGTCTCACTATGTTGTTCAGGCAATTCCCTGTCAATGTGTTTTTTGTTGTTTTTTTTTGGTACCAGGGATCGAACTTGGATCCTTGCGCATGCGCAGCAGGTGGCGAAACCACTGAGCTAAATCCCCTGCTACAGTGTTTGTTTTTTGTTTTTTTTTGGTACTGGGGATCAAACTCAGGACCTTCCGCTTGCAAGGCAGGCAGTGGAAACACTGAGCTCCAAATCCCTGGCCCAGTGTGTTTTGTATTTACAATCTCCATGTTAATTATCTGCAAATACCATGTTGCCCTTGTACTCCATTCCCACTTCAGTTTTACCATCACTGGCTTTCTTGGTACTCCATTGAGGAAAAGTCTGACAATGCTGCAGGCTACTGGTTCCTCAGATCTGGAGCAGCGACTGCAGGCCCAAACCTTTGAGCATTAAGAGAAATGGTTTCATATATTGGCTTTCTAAAGAGAATAAAAATTGGCTGATGCAGATACACATAGTACCTCTCTCTCTTTTTTTTTTTTTTGTACCGGGGATCGAACTCGGGACCTTGTACTTGTGAGACAGGTGGTGGAACCACTGAGCTAAATCCCCGGCCCCATAGTACCTCTCTTTAACTTTCTCCTTTTCCCGTACATCATTCACTTTTTTTTTTGAGACAGGGTCTTGCTTTGTAGTGCAGGCTGGCCTTGAATTCGCTATGTAGCCCAGGCTGGTCTGGAACTCTTGCCAATCCTGTTTTAGCCTCCCAAGGGCTGGGATTACAGGCATGTGCCACCACATCTCACTGTTGTGCATTGTTATAGTATATTTAAATTATAGTATGTATATATATAATATATAACATAATATATACTATGTATTATAATTTATATCTAAATTAATATATATGCCATATATATTTAATATATAATATGTAGTGTATATATTATAGTATATTTATACTATACTGTAGTATAGTGTATACTGCCAATATATGTAAGACCATAACAACAGTCTTTTGGGAAATACAGTCTGTATTCTTAGATAACTCACCTTTTTCATTCAGCATTTTATTTATTTTTATTTATTTTTATTTTTTATTTTTTTCAGCGTTTTCATTTAAATTCTAGGATCCTCTGCAGTTTATGAGGGGTCACTTCATGATAAAGCTATCATTAGCTGAAAATGCGTTTAGTACTTGTTAGCCCAAATGAACATAATAGTGCAGTTTTTACTAAATGTATATTACTTTTAAACCATCATAAAGTGAAAAGTCCTACGTTGAACCATTGTAAGTTGGGGACCATTGTATTAGACCTTGTTTTGGTACCGGGGATTGAACCCAGGGAGTGCTGAGCTGTTTCCTGTCCTTTCTGGCTTTTGAGTCACGGCCTAGCTATGTAGTTTAGGCTGGCCTGAAACTCACTCTGTGTCCCACGCTGGCCTCAAACTCAACAGTCCTCCTACCTCAGCCTCCTGAGTGCTGGGATTACAGGGGTGTACCACCATGCCTGACCCCATTCTTCTCTTCAATTTTATTATTATTATGTTTTTCTTTTTTTTTCTTGTACCAAGCATCGAACTCAGGACCTTGCACTTGCCAGACAGGTGCAGCACCACTGAGATAAATCCCCAGCCCCTCTTAAATTTTATTTTGAGATAGGGTCTCATTAAGTTGCCCAGGCTGACCTCCAACTTGTGATTCTCCTGCCTCAGCCTGCTGAGTACTTGGGATTACAGGCATGTGCCACTATGTCTGGCTATATTAGACATCTTTCTCCATAGAAACTCATTTTATTAACTGAATTATCCATTTACCTTCTAATGGATAATTTTTACTTACCTTAATCTGGGTTCTTTATTGCTCTAAAAGCAGCGTTTTCTTATTTTTTTAAAAAGTACCTTTTCAGTTAAAATTTTGACTTTGCTAGGTGGTGGTGTATACCTATAATCCCAGTACTGAGGAGGCTGAGGAAGGAGGATCTCCATGAATTCAAGGCCAACCTCTGGACTACATAGTGAGTTCAAGGGCAGGTTGAACTACATGGGGAGACCTTATCTCAAAAAACTGTTTTTGTTTGTTTGTTTTACTTAAAAGTATATTTTGGGAAATACCCAGGAATAAGGGATAGAAATAGTTTGATATTTTAAACTTATTTTCTCTCAGTCCCTAATAGTATCTTTTTTTTTTTTGGTACCAGGGATTGAATTTGGGACCTTGTGATTGTGAGGCAGGTGACAGAACCATTGAGCTAAATCCCTGGCCCCTTTCTTTTCTTCTTGTTTTTGTTTATTTTTGGTTCTAATGCTATCAGTTTTGTTCATAAGTAACTTGGATAATGGGCCCTATTTCTTTTATGTTTTAACTTTTTTGTTTTGTTTTGTTGAGACAGGATCTTTTGTAGTTTAGGCTGGCCTTGAGCTTACTATGTAGTCCAGGCTAGCCTTGCATTCGAAGTGATGCCCCTCCTCTCAGCCTCTTGAGTGCTTGGATTACAGGTGTGCGTGTCATGCAGGGCCAAAATACATTTTGAGTGTTGACTTCCCCTTGTGGTCAGTTTACTTCTTCCTGTGGGGTAGGATTAACTTTTTTACCCTTGACACACTCTGCTAATTTTTTCTCAATCAATATTGACTTCTTTATATATTAGGAGGATATAAATATTTCATTGCTGAACCAGGTAATATACTGTAATTATATTTCTTTGATGTGTACTTTTTTTTCATTCCTGTAATTAGTGGTTGCTAAGTTTATATGTTTAGTTTCTGCTTGCCCCTGTTTGTTTCTTCTGCAAGTTTAGAGATTTAAAACTTTTGATCTGAAAGAGTAAAACTCTTTTCATTTAAATCACATGTAAACTTTATATACAGTCCCTCTGTCTCATACCCATCATTCTTAGAGCCCTTTATTACCCTCTATTCCTCTTATCGGAACTCTAGTGTTCTTGGGGTTTGTGTACAGCAATCAGATGATGCCTGTAGATTCTCTTTTCATTTTGTCCAAGGGTTTTTCTTTTTTTTGGTACTGAGGATCGAACTCAGGACCTTGCGCATTTTAGGCAGGTCCTGAGCTAAATCCCTGGCTCCAAGGGATTTTCTTTTAACTTTGAACTTCTTTATTTAGAATGCTGTAGTCTGTCTTTTTTTTTTTTCTTTAATGTGTGACTTTTTAACCCAGTGTTTGCTTAAAAGTTACCTCCCTTAGCTGGGCATGGTGGTGCACTCCTGCAATTCCAGCAATCCGGGAGATAGATCATAAGTTTGAGCCCAGGCTGGGCAAGTTAGTGACTTAATGAGACCTATCTCAAAATAAAAAAAGAAATAAAACAAGACTAAGATTGTAGCTTGGCATGAGGGCCCTGGGTTCAATCCCCAGTACCAAAAAAAAAGAAAAAAGAAAATTTCATAGTCCTTCTAACTCGCTATTCTGAGGTGGCTTTTATGTGCTATATGTTTGTATGTTTTTATCTCTTCATTTACTTTTTTGTTGTTTTTTAGCACTAGACTAAGTTCTGGTACTCAGTATTCCTCAGATAGGAATGAATGCTTAAGTGATTACCTCTAGACACAGTGAAGATTTAAATGCCATGGCTTATGTGATCTTGTTGGCTTTTATTTGTCTAGCATGCAGTTGGTAAAATGTAGCCCATGGACCAAATCTGGTCAGGTGCTTGTTTTTATAATATGGCTGTGCTCATTTGCTCATTTGTTTATGTATTGTCGTCTATGACTGCTTTCATGATAAAATAGCAGTTGCATAGTTGTGACTAGTATAGTGTTTAAAGCCTGGAAAGCCTAAAATACTTATTTGATAGTGGAGATTGAACCCAGGACCTTTACACTGAGCTACATCTCCAGCTCTTTCAACATACAAAGAATTTATTTACTTGTTTATGAATGACTGAATGAGAGGGTCTCACTGTGTAGTTCAGGGTGGCCTTGAACTTGCTGAGATCCTTCTTAGTCACCTGAATGCTGGGATTACAGGCATGCCTGACCATTTTTTTCTTTGTTTTTTTTTTGAGACAAATTGTAACCCACTTACCTCAACCTCCCAGAGTTGTGGGGCTGTAAGCAGAGTTCAATGAATACAGCACTGGAGGAAGATCTTAACAACCAGTCAGCTGGGATTGTAAAATGTAGCTTGTAGGGTTCAGCCCCAGCATTGCAATGCATGGAACAGAAGGGTGGATTTGGAGTTGAGAGATAATTGGCAAAGTATTTTTTTTTTTTTGGTACTGGGGATTGAACTCGGTTCCTTGCGCTTGCGTAGCAGGCGGCAAAACCACTGAGCTAAATCCCTGGCCCAGCAAAGTATTTCTTTCCCCCAAGCTACACATGTTAAAAATCTGTTGTTAATCAGTAATTAAATAAACTAAGATTTATTCTGTTTGTTGAAAGCAAAAGAATTAAACTGAAGTACAATATTTGCATTTGGGAATATAGGCTTTAATTTGAAATATTGATTTTTATATTGGTTTAGCATTTATTAATAATTAAATGTTTTCTTTATTTTAGTATCAGATATAGAAGGTGGTGATGGACTGCAGCTCAGAAAGGAACATACTCTCAAAATATTTGCTTATATCAATTCCTGGACACAGAGGTATGCATCTTTAGGTATTCTGAAAATTAACTTTGTGAGTTGTGTTTTAAAGTGCCTTTGCTAGTCATTAGATTTTCTTTTAGGATGTTGAATTGGATACTTCTAGCATAAATGACAGTTTATCAGTACTTAACAAATCTTACCCTTACTCATGGAGCTGATCTGATCATGATTGTTCTTTTAAGACATGAATATAAAAATTGATTTCTTTCCTTTTACCTTATCTTCATTATTTAGCAATATGGGAATGACTGAAATTTTGAAAAGTGATTATTTTGATCTAAAGGCTTGTCACAGACTGAAGCCTTTAAAATACCAGTATTGTGGTAGGAAACACTTTGGAAGCTCTTTGCTATTCCTTTTCCTCAATACAGTAATTATATATAAGACCCGGTTTTTTTGCGG